TGGCTGTTGTCTCACGGCAGGGAGGGGGCCGGCCACACCAGTGAAGGTTGGAACTCACCCCCAGGAAGGTCACCGGCGGGAGTAGTTCACAGACTTTGGGAGGACCAGGAGATGAGGTGCTCCCCAGGTAGTCTGCGGCTGGACACTAAGGTGTTGGACCGGATGCTGAGCTGGCAAGGTTCTCCCTGAAACCAAGTTTCCTAAAGCTTTATGCAGGACATTGAGCAAGTTTGATGTTAAGTAGAGAGGCTTTCACAGCATGAGGACAGGACCCCCAAGTCTCAAGGAGACTATAGTAGAACCCAGAGTAGCAGGTCTATCCAGGAATGGTCAGTGCACTCCCAGTCAAAGATGGGGTTGACTTGGAGATGCCCATCAGATGTCATCAACCCCTTCAATTACACCATTATTCGAGATGCTACACTGCATCATTTGTGTGATTACCCAACTTTTGGATGTCTGCAGGTGTAGAAAATGTCAGGTTTAATAGCAAGTACATGTACGTGTATCAGCAACCATGAAATTGAATCATCATTTTTTCCTGAACTCAAAACTGAAATATATCATTTTTGTATTTGAAATCAGGAGAGATCAAATTGAATTCCATTCTTGTGCTCTTTATCAAGTGATGATTTATCATTAAATATGTTTTGTGGCACCAACTAAACCACCACCAAATTTCTCCAGTTTTGATCACTGTCCAATCAAGTATACAGTTCATATTACGCATTTGTCTTTTACAAAAAAGAGTACACCTAACCAATCATAAACATCTCTGGGTATGACAACTGATGTTTTTCTGGTGGCAAGAGTTATTGCATCTGGAAGGTCAAATAACTGGACTGGAGCGACTCCTCCTGGTGTCCTTCATCAATCTTATCTTGTTTCTCAGATGGCAGGAGGAAGACTGTGGCATCCCCCAGATGTCAGTCACTGCATGGACATGTTGTTGGCAGTAGTCAGGGTTTATGTGTAAGAGGTGATATGGGGTGTAGGGAATTTAAGATATATTCACATCTCTGTCAAAAAAAAATGACAGGGAGCTTTAATTACTGGCTTTCCAAGGAATTACATTGGATTGACAGTAGCCATATTACATGAACTATCCAGGATGTGAACTGAGGACATGCTAAGCAATCTTTTTGATCAAATCTCACTTGTTTCATGGGAAGTAATTGGATCGGTCACTGTTTTGCTGTGATGTTGGAAACTGTTGTGTTTCGAATAAAAGATTGTTTCAGCATTGTATATCCTTTGTTAAAGTGTCATTTTTTATGTGTGAATTTTGTTCTTCTTCTGTTTTGGTGGAGATTTATATTTGGTCATGTTTAAGCTTGATGACTAGGGTTAATTACTCTGAATGTGGTGATGACTTTCATGCATTGTCGGTACTTTATATCATCTGTTGTTTGGTAAGAGGACACAGGTCTGACGTGTTGCACACCTGAAGTCAGTTAGTTCATGTAAGCAAAAGTTGCTACTATTAACAGGACAAAGTAAACAACTTCCAAAGTTAACCTAACCGCGTTTTTTTAGAGTATCATACAATGTTGTTTTGTTTTCTTTTGTGTGTGGCTTTTTTGAGGTTTAAATGCAGAAATACTTTCAAAGATTCAAAGGAAAGGGGACCTACCTGCATACCCTGCGCCAACTCATTGTAATCCCAGAGGACTTCCTGGTTGGAAGAAAAAAACAATTCTGTTGTTTAACAAGAAATAAATCCTTCACCCTACTATTCATAACCCCAACCACACACATCCAAAGCCCTACATATCTCTTTGAGTTCACCCAGTACCAAGCACCTTTCGGCTACTCATGTGCGACAACGACGGGCCCATTTCCGCCCGCTAAATGCTCCATATTCTTCTCTCTTTTCCTGGGAGCTGCTTATCGCTTTCCCCTTTCTATAGGGGTATTTCTTGTCACAGGAGAGTAGTCATGTGTGGTGAGTGCTGTCTTATTGAGGTCAGTTTTCTCGGCCTGAGAATTTCAGATCAGGGTTCCTGAAAACTACACAGCAGTAAGAATCAGGTTAGGATGTCAAAGATAGACTCTTACACTGATTTCAATTCATGTCTGGAACTACTGTCAATACAATGAGTGAAATAGTCCACCATTCACACCCTTTGACAGTCATGACGTGCTTAAAGGGTAATTAAATAAATATTTTTCAAGTACCATCATCTCAAGGTGGAATACCATAAGACACTAGTAAGCTGTGCAAAATTGTGAGAATCTTGGATTTAGTGGTACATTGAATCAAGCAATGTCAAGTGCACAGCACAGGATATATGTACATGTATTTGTTCTTATCAACTCCTTGATATGGTTTGCGAACAGTAAACGATTTTTTTCTGTTTATTTTCAACTGAAGCACGAGTCATCGCTTGGACAGATAAAAACCTGTTTTGTTCTATTTATCACTATTTGGTTTCATGTAGTGCTCCGTTGAGCATGACATTTCACTTGTAAGTCAGTTTCCTCAAACTTATTTCAAACTTTATTATCAGTGTTAATAAACCCTAAAAAATCACTTCAGTTGGTATTTTCAGTTATTTGTTTTCACCAGTGATGATTTGTAAAATCTGTACAGGCGCCACGATGTCTGAGTCGATGCACTGTGCTACCCTCGCAAGTAAATACTAAACTTGGTGATAGCGGTGCACCACACAAGCTTGTGTCTTGTTCCCTAGCTATTCACACCTCTCTGCTATTTGCCATGCAAGTCTGCAAGCATCATTAAGATACCAGCACCAGACCTCTGTTGCTAAGGGCTCCATTTCCTGGTGTTGACCCTTCAATTAAAATGTGTTGTATGATAAACCACTTCTATTTGTGCAGTTAACACCATGTGTGAGTGCCCAGTGTGTGGTTTTGGCAAAAGGGTGCACACTTGAGTGTCTTTATTGTGGGTGGTGCCCCTCCAGCATTCTTGAAGGGTGCCCGTCTTACCTACAGACAAATGTTTGCCAATATCACCCAGTGCTATGGCAAACACTACACCCTACAGGAAGAGTGTCACCTGTGAATATAGCGGCCCTGTTTTACAAGCGGTTTGCTTTATGTCTTTTATGTTACATCCCGAGTTGATAGAGCTCTGCTAAATCCAGGTAATGTGGAACATATTGAAATGTTGATGGTGTAAGAGTTACACTGAAGGAAGATAAAAAAACCTCAAAAATTCCCATCCTAACGATTATTCTGTTGAACAGTGTTATTCTTTCAAGATGGTCATTTTTCATACACCAACAAGATTAAATATAAATCCCCCATGATGTAATTATTAAAACTGGTAAATTGAAAAACATGTTTCGTGGCTGAAAAGCCAAATTACACATGGTTAACAATAGCATAAAAGGGGAAACAGTGAAAATGTCTGTTACAATTACCTTAAAACAATATAAACTTCAACACATGTATATACACAAAAAGAACTTCGACATTCAATATCAAAGAAGAGTCATGTAATCATAGAAATACACCGATAGATCCAGTGCAACAACACCAGTTGTGAACGTTTGGCCTATTGATTCTTCACAAATGACATGGACCAGGTAAGTTGAGTGCTTCCTAGTTCGGCCCTAATTTGTTCATCTAGTTGCATTTAAAGGTTTTGTTTCACCTCAGTCCTAATGTACAAAGTTTAGAAAAAAAATGTTCATTGGAAATGCCTGAGAAACATTTACATACTCTGAATGCAGCAAGTAATGGAAAGGTTGTACAGAATTGAATGTTTCTAAGCACTGTTTCAAACATTTCATTGGGCAGCTTGCAAGTTATTCAACTTCAAGTAAATTCTACACACTTGAAAAAATCTTCCCCCTCCCCAGGAAAGTATTAATTAGATTTGCTGGATGCGATACGGATACCAATAGGCAGTATCTGTGTAGGACGCTGCTGAAATTTTACTTCGAAATTTACAATTATCCAAGACTAGCATAATGGTTCCCAGATATCATTTTTGCTTAGATCATGGTTTGACCAAAACAGCGGAAAACACATGCCACTAAGATGTTATATTATCTCTCTCTTTCTGATATCCAACCCAAATGACTGTGTTATATCTGTGGCACAGTTCATGATTCTTGTCCCACAGTTCAGTAGGAGAAGGGATCTACCACCACCAGCCAGGCTGTCAATTGTTCCAGTCAGTAATCCTCGAAGTAAAAGAAAAAACAACAATAGCCAGTAGTTGCTGCAAAAATCCTGCCAAAAAACCTCTGAATGCATTGAATTAGAAGATTATCCCTTTTGTCGATCCTGTTTTTTTTTTATCGGGGGATCACACCTTTACTTGAGAAGTAGGGACTTCCTGCACAATCCTTTGCCCCTCATTGTCACACCCAAGTAATATTCACTAATCCCCCACCATGAAGAGGCTTAGAAGACCAGTCCACAAAAGGGGGATTGGGGATTTTCGAAGGGTCCTTTCCTGTTGCATTTATCGCACGTTTTAAGCTGCTCCTAAAATACACTAGTGTATTTATGACACCTTCAACCTGTACTGTGGACGAACTCCATCGACAAGGCCTGTGTTCAGACCTTTTGTTCACATTGCACTGGGTTACATGTAGGTTATGTCAGACAAGGTGGTCCACATCTTTGGATTTCTAGAATCTTCCATCCATGGAAGCAATTGAAATGTTTCACAAACCTTTGAGCACTTAACCATAATAAGCTCACAAGTCGAGATCAACAGAAGACATTTAAGAAAACGATCCAATTTATATTTTTCCTTGCATAATGATGAAATCCTGTGTAACCTAAATGAATGTTCAGTTTCCTAACAAGGGCCAAGGATAGCACTATCCTATAAAATCCCATTGTTGAAATTTTTGTAAGCAGGAGAGGGTGCATTAGTTCATCAGATCTTACCGTCAAAAACTGTGGGCATGACTCCAGGTATATAGGTAATGCCACTCAATGCATCAAAATGTGCAGATTGGTGGCAATATCAACACTATATATTAATCAACAGGTGCAAAGAAGACTTCTCAAAATGTGGTCTTACTCAATAGTGGCTCTCTTTATTTCACAATATTACAAAATGTATTTACACAGAAAAGCAAAAACCAATTATCATATATTCATTACATCTTCAACAATGGCAAAAGATAAAACAACACCAAAAGCAGCTGTCCCATTATACACAAAAACATTCTGCATCTTAAATTTCAAGTTTTATTTTTTTTTTTCAATTCCAGCCAAGAATATCTTTAATGGAATTCAACTGAGAACTCGCTATCATGATTGTAATCGTATAACCCAAATCAAAGAACAAGTTGCAACAGAAGGTAGGCCAGGCTTGAAAAACCAAGCGCAAAGAGCAGATCTTGGTTGCTGTCAAGTGTGTGCACGCATGTTTGTGTTTCTTTATTGACAGATTTTTTTCCTACACTTAAAGTTGATCAGATTTGAGATTTGCCACAGAGCAAACACTCCTTGGCCACATGTTCCATGAGAATCTTTGCCACTCGCTTTTCAAAGTATTAAAGGTTCATTTGTTGCTTCTCTACTATTTGTCAAGAGACTGACATTGAAATATTTGGTGCAGACATTACGTGTACTGGCATGCACTGTGCATACTGCAACATTCCATCTTTTGAACTCAAGAACTGACCCTTAAAATTATCCAAAGATGAACAGATTTTTTTTTCCTCAATTCATGCGGCTTGTAAAAATAACTCCCGTCAGCAAAAGGGCCTCAGGCAATTACGTTATACATGTAACTTCAACATACATGTACATAAAAAATGGGGTGTGCTGTTTCATGTAGAAACCAGAACTAAGCTGCTTACCAAAGTGATTTTGAATTCCTCTGTAAGGTGAAGATAGCCAAGGATTCCTCACAGAGAATGCGCATGCATCTGCCGCTCCAGCTATTTTTAGCTGGTCAAAGTTAATTTTGCTGAGCAAAGTGTTTCCATTAGCAAATCTGCCATCTCAATATATTCAAGGAATGAACACTGACAAGATTTTTGTGTGTGTCACATGCATAACACAGGCAGGATTACCATACGTACATTGGTGGGTAGTTTTCAGGCACAAAGATAAAAAAAAAATTTGTCCGAAGCAAATGCCCCAAAACCTTTGAAGTTTAACACTCAGTCATATTCTTATGTATGCTGGAAGAAACTTCATGAATGAAATCGTAACAGAGCTTGTGTAGTAAGTAATAAGTGCACAACCTCTCAACACAGTATGCAGATGCTCAAACTCTATACTACTTGTATTATGTCCTGGTAACTCTCAACTTGGCCCGACCTCTTCTAAAATATATTTTAAAATCCTTCTGACTTCAAATTCACAATTATTCTGGAGGGATATACTTGCGAGACACTGGAAAATTAACATGCTAGAGTGTCCCATCTTGGCGCGATTAATTCATTACATCCTTTTCAAGGGCAAATAATACTCGAATGAACACTGTCAATGGCACGGACAGCACTGCAGTAGCTCATGGAAGCATGAATTGGGAACGCTAGTAAAATGTTTGCAAAATCATTTTAAAATGGCATGAACTATAACAAAGATTAACCGGGGTTTTGCATCGCTGGCACTCAAAATGCCTACAACATATAAATACATGAATGGAAGTAAAAATTTTGAAAACAAATACATGTACTTATTAAAATCTTACATTCAAGAACAACACACAGTTGTCAAAGTGAAGTACACCACTGATAAAGTTTCAACTTTTCTTTCTAGGACTTTTGGATCCACATGGCCCTAAGATTTGAAGTAAAAATTCTAATGAGGATTCCAAACTGGAAGAACTCCGGTATGTCATGAGCTTTACATGGATAAGCTGCTTCTTTGAATAACCTTTTTGCATGAAAAAGTACTTTATATGCTTGTTACAATAAATTAATTTTGGAATACAATATACAGTCTTGGTTTTTTAATATGATACACACTCAGTGAACTACGTTATTTAGGCAATGTGGCACATGTATGGAAAACGCAACCTGTTGGTGCCATTGCTTAGTGACTGTTCAGGGCTCATCGCAGTTGTCCTGTTTATTCCAATCCCTACTTGCTTTCTCATGAAGTGTGCTAGCCATTTGCATCAATTCAGTGCAGAGTTACATGAAACAATGCGGCATACCAACTGCATTTTATAAGACGTGGATGTTACAAAATATTGCATTAATATTGACTTCTTTCAGAGTCCTGATGTATGTATTACGTGAACTGCACAGTCTGACTGCAGTTCATATTCAGCAGGCTTTTTATCTCGACTGGAACTTCACTATTTAGACACGGCACAAGTCCAACATCATGGGGGGAAAGACATGAGGCCGAGGGGAGTGGGGGTAGGTTTCTCGAGTCACAACCTCAAACAATGCAGCACAGCTTCTTCCAAATAGAGGACTTGGGCTGGGATGGCACAGGCTTCTCCTTCTTGGCTTTACTGGACTTTGCCTTCGAGCCCTTGGACTTGGAGCTACCTTTACCCTTGGGGGGTCCAGTGAACTGCAGGGCAGTTAAGATAACAGTGTCAAAGACATCCTTCAGATTGTGCTGCGTCAGTGCCGAGCATTCCACATACGAGACAGCGTTGATACGCTGGGCCCTGTATATAGCTTCCTCCTCAGTGATGGGCCTCTCCTGGTATTTGGCCAGATCGATTAGGACATTGACGTCAGTCCGCAAGTCACACTGCGTGCCCACCAGGATGATGGGGGTCTTTGGGTTGTGCCTCCGTACTTCCGGCAGCCACTTCTCTAAAATGTTGTGGAAGGACGTGGGCGACACCACGCTGAAACACAGGAGAAATACGTCTGTCTGCGGGTAGCACAGTGGGCGTAGTGAATCAAAATCATCCTAAATACAGTAAACAAAAGGGAAAAGGAAAACCTCTTTTTAGAACGAAATACTGGTAAATCACGTGTAAGGATGGTACAAAGAAACTGAATGCTGACGTGGGAGTAATCAGACTTGTGGAGCATAACACAGACCCTCCAAATGCTGTTTACAACTTGTCCAGGGCTGGCAGGGTTCAAAAGAATGTATTACAGCTGACAGCCCTGCAGCGATGAAAGTGATATTGAGCTGGTCTGAATCCAGACTTGGCATAACTCCAATGAATGGAAGCATGCCTCTCTACCCATGCTCCTCTTTTGACAGGGAAAAAAATGTTGGGGGAGTTCTTGGGACAGCCCACAGAACTAGTGGGGCATCTGATGATTGTCATTTCTCAATGTTGTTCATATTTCAGGGGATTTGTCCTTTCTGAGTGTGTCCTTCAGTTAAAGTGTACAAATATCACACCCATTTTGCAACTTTGCAACTTGAGGAGCTGAATTTATGGCAGGTCACGCAGGCCCATCAAGAAGAAAACAACTCTTGAAATTGTTCTGACAAAAAAAAATTCTACTCAGAAATGCACTAATTATTTCTTCAATAAGTTTTCATGCAGCTGAAACTTTCCCAGAAACAAACTCATGTAATGAGATGAGAAACCCTCACACAGAAAACTGCAAAAGTTGTAAAAAAATTAAGTGTACTACAGAACCAAGAAACTCTCTGAAAGACTTTAGTTCAGAGGACCCGGGTTCGACCTTGCTGAGGTCAACCTGTCTGGTTAACTCATTATACAGCTAACCTCAACTGTGTACACACCACAGGACCCACCACTTTTTTTTCTGGTGATCAGATTTGCAGTTGAACCCCCCTGGGAGATCCAGCTGAGGTGAGAATATGGGGTGGGGTATTCAGAGAACTGGAGTAAGAGATTCTGAGTAGTGGTAGAACTATCTGATTGGCAATGAAACAGTGGATTTGGGGGGAAATCTTCAAATTATTCAAAATTATGAATAGACTACAGACTTTAACACAATACCAGTGCATTAAAAAAAGTTATACTGGGTCATTACATAAATTAGGGGTCCAATTTTTTCTGTGTCCCTGCCACATCAGACATGTGATTTTGTATGTTCAGAACACATTGTTTAATTTCCAAGACAGATGAACTTTTGGACCCCGAATTTATAGAATAACCCAACAACGCACATCCTCAAATTTGCTACTGTAATTTGCTGGTATTTATTTTTGATCATCTGAAAAGCTGAAATATGTTGAATGCTTTTCACACTATAATGTGTTTTGGCGCAGCATAAAATGGAACTGGCTTAACCCTAACCCCTTGGGGTGTATGTAAAATAATATTGACATCTGAGGAGTTGGGACTGTTA